GCCCCCCCCCACCGACTACCACCACCGTGTCGCAGACACCTGCTGCTCACTGATGGCCAGGTACACAACCGTGTGTACATCTGAGGCAGCTGATGGCATTTTGGGCATATGTTTAATTGTATTCAGGGATGGCTAACAATATTTTAACCTTTTAGGGAGGAGGAAAAATGGAGATTGGATCTTTGACAAAGAACAAATAGAGGAAATTGGTTTTTCGTAAATTTCTGGTGTTTCAATGAATGTATCTTTTGGCTTTGGCACATAGGAGATTTTTTTTACCTGTTATCTGTTTATCTTTACCTCTATTTTGAAAGAAAATATAATTTTCCTTGTAGCCTACAAATCTGAAAGGTACTAATATACCTTTACTTAAGATAACCAGCCAACAGTAGTCTGGTTTTTTGTTTGTGATTTGTTTTCCTTAAAGTTTGTTTTGATGCTAGGATTATCATAGGAAGTAGGAGTAACAGCTAATATATAGTGTTACTGTGTGCCAGGCCAGAGGCTAAACTCGTTACACATATTAGCTCATTCAATCCTCATGGCAAGCCTATGACTCATATACTATCATTATCCCTATTTCACGGAGGAGGAAAGTGAGGTTCAGAGATGTTGAGTAACTTGTCCTGGGCTGCACAGCTAAGTAGTGGGAGAGTCAGCATCTGAACTCAGCACCTCCCACTCCAGAGCCTGAGCTCTGGGCCTCTGCTCTCTTCACTGTGCAAGCTGGTCTGATGCCACCGTGTTTTTCACCCGTCTTCCTTCCCAGATGCACAAATCTGGCGTTCTGAGGAAGGCCATTGACTACATCAAATACTTGCAGCAGGTCAATCATAAACTGCGCCAGGAGAACATGGTGCTGAAACTGGCAAATCAGAAGAACAGTAAGTGTGCTCGTTGAGAAAAGGGTTTCAGACTTTCCGGTTATAGTAGAAGGCCTGTGCTGGGCACCGGGGAGGGTCCACTGTTGTGTACAAGGTGCCTTCAGGGGTGAAGCAGGAGCAGGGGCTGTGCATCCCTCACCTAGCCCAGCTCCAGCCCAGGTGGGGTGCTATAAAACGGACCGTTTGCCAGGTAGGGTTTTCTTTACAGAGCTCTTGAAGGGCATTGACCTAGGCAGCCTGGTGGACAATGACGTGGACCTGAAGATCGATGACTTTAATCAGAATGTCCTTCTGATGTCACCTCCGGCCTCTGATTCAGGGTCCCAGGCAGGCTTCTCCCCCTACTCCATCGACTCTGAGCCAGGAAGCCCTCTATTGGATGATGCAAAGGTAATGAGCTTTTGAAATCCCCTGACCCCTGGAATCTCTCCCATCTCCCCGAAGTTAATAGTGGGGAGGCTGCAGACAGCAGTCCAGGTCAGGTGTTCAGAGGCCCTGGGCTGGAGAGGAACAAGAATTCCGTGAAATTAGCCATGTACTGGAGAATAAAGAAAAAGAAAGCTGACTCTATATGGGGGTACAACCTCCGGTTTTACTGGTCCTTGCTGAAAGGGCCCATCAGAGGGGAATAATAGCCAAATCCAGCATGGGAACACACAGCGGCTGTGGTGCGGAGCTAGGAGTTGCTGGAGGCATCTCATCGCTTCCCTCGCCCATAATGAGCCTGGCAAGACCACTTTGTGAGGTTGATCAGTTGGGTTAGGATGAGGCTGCCTCTGGGTCTCGGGAAATGATTACAGTTTGCAGTCTAACAGATAACATTCCTACCAAGGGCCTTTAATTGTGGAAGAAAGCCCCTGGCAATTCTTGTTTAATGGAATTTGTTAAAAGAGGCTCAAGCCTAATGATCTTCCCAGGAACCTATGGAGACCACTGGGGTTTGTGCTGTATTTTGACATTGGCAGTTTCTGGCTTCAAAAGCGCAGAGTTCCCTTCTAGCGTAAGTTTTTTTTTTTTTTTTTTTTTTTTTTTTTTTT